GGAAAAGAGCGAAAAAAAGGAGAAAAGAGTTACTACGCAAAGTGCCCAGTGAAGCCAAGTGACACGTCATTTTTACAGTATGACCTTTTTTCCCTCTCCAGATATGCAGGGTTTTGAAAAGCAGAGAAGAGAATTAATTGTGGCAGCTGCCCCCCCCAGCTGCGCCCTCCCGCAGTCGACCAGTAAAAACGCGCACACACGCATTCTGCGTTAGTCGCCACACTCGGGGTGCTTTGTCAGGGTGAACAAAAAAAGGGGGGGTAAAACACATTCACACATCACATAAAACTGGAAAATGACATTGGTCTGGAAATGGCTTCTTGGTCTGGAAATGGCGTTTTTTCTTTTCCTTTTTTTCCCCCCCCTTCTCAAGGGGGGGGGCGGCTTGAGCACTTTAAGACCTTCTATTCCAGGTGGAGGCGATGGAAAGACACTAATTAGTTGTCAGATGACGTTTGGTTGACTGGTTCTGTGTATTTTCCTATATTCTAAACTGCGCCTTTTGGGCAATAAAAAGGGGAGCCAAGGGGGTTAAATATGAGGAGATGGCCCTTTCTCCCCCCCTTTTTTTTTTTCTTCAAAGGTGCTGCTTTGGAGAAAAAAAAGAAGCAAAACTCAAATCATTGCAGTGTCCAAGAGAAATTACAAGGGGAGTAATTAGAGGGGGCTATCATTTAGTAATCTGGCAATCTGAATCAATCTATTAATTTGCTAGGTTAACACCCAGTTGTGTTCACATTTCAACAACAAAAAGCCCAGCTTGGTTGTAGGTAAATGTAAAAGGCCTCTCTCCTTTGTGCTGGTGTCTGGGGTGGGTTGGCTATGTTTTTTTGGATGGGTCATGCCTTTGTTCTCCTGGGCCCAGGTTTACATAAAGCAGAAAATTTTTAATGACGTGAAAATAAGTCTCTGGTGTTTTTTTCATTTGCAGTTCCAGTAATTAAGTGGTGTGCGCGTTGAGGTCTTGACTGAAACTTTGAAGGGTTACATTATGCTATGCCAATGTTAACATGCATAGAGCTATTTGATTTCAAAGCAGAAAGCCTGGAAAAGTCTAGAATTCTTCTTTTGACTGAAGTCATGCAACCTGAATCCTGATATAAGCCAATTGTGGTGTTGATGGTACCTTACATTTCTAACACCTTTTGTGCAAATTATTACAAAATCACTTAATTTGAGGCTACTAATATGAACACACCTTGCATTGAGGTGGTGGGGGGGGGTAACTGTGACATAGTCCAGCCCTGATGGTAGCCTCTGGGAGGGGTCTTTCCCCCCCATATGTCAGGGACAGTTTGCAGTCATACGTGATAAGTCACACCAAAAAATGCCCCCTCCCCCAGAAAGTGGAAAAAGAATTAGGCCTAAGTTGTCTTTTTCCTCAGTATCAAAAGGACATTGCAGCTGAGCCAATCCCAGAAGCACAAAAGCTGTTACAAGTTGTTCTTCAGGCCAAACCCTGGAATTTCACCAGTGTGGAAACTGAGGCACAGATCCCTTCCCGCCTCTGAGGGGAGGGCCTTGCACATTTTCACATCAGAACATGAAGTTGTTGGGGGGTCCTGATTGTCTTCATTCAGGGGAATCTTGACATATTTTAATTTTTATATTTTAATGCTTGAGAGTTTAGCTCATTAAGAGCGGGTGTTTTGCTTTGAAATCAGTCTTTCTGGGGAAACTAATTTGAATTTTTACAAATATTGATCATTGTGAATAAGGCAAGAAGGGGGAGGCATGCAGCGCAATCATTTAACAAATGCACAGAAGAAGGGGGGGCAGCAGACAAGGATTATTTGTTGTGGAGAGGTACGTCTGAAAAAGGACAAAAAAGATCATGGAAAAACAGCAGCCAATCCTCCTTGTTTAGTAGAAATGTGTTTTTTCCACAAATGTATTTTTGCACATGAAAGGTGATTTTAAAATGGAGGCATGTGTGTTCCTTTTTACTGTTTTAGTTGGGAAGGGCTTGGAATCTTTGCAATTCCCTGGTTTCCAGGAATATTTATCGTGACAGTTTCAGCCTCGTCCTTTTATTCCTCACCATGATTGCTGCTGCGGGGAGCCTCGTGGTAACATGGTTGTTCTCAAGCACTGTATCTGAGATTAAAATGTGTTGTCTTATTGATAGGAGGAGATGGCAGATAATTGAAGGTCTTCCATTCTCCCCAGCAATATGATTGCTGTAGCCAGAAAGAAATTATCTTTAGAAAGATATCTTGAAGGGAGGGGGGAGTCAGTAGATACAGTGTAACCTTATGGGTTTGGGGCTGGCTTTTTAAGTGGCCCAAGAGGAGAGAAACTTGCCTGGGGATAAACTGCATCATGAACATATTTTGGGGGGGAGTGATGCATTGGGACGTGATGTAGGGGAGACTGCAGTGGACTGCATTGTATTCCTGAGTATTTTAACCACAAAACATCTGACAAACAATGAATTATGTGGCTGGCTGCATCATGTATACATCTTACCAAGGACTGCTCACATCCAGAGGATTCTGTTTTGATGTTTAACTTCAATTCTCTTCACTCGCCCCCCCCCACGACAAAATTGCGTCATTCCTTCTCTCTGCCCTTTGCCTTCTCCATCCTGCAATTTTTTAAAAAGCAAAACCAAAACAACCCACCCAAAACTTAAAACACAAAACAAAAAAGAAAACCAACAGCAAAAACTCCTGTAATTCTTGTTTGTTGTTCTGATGGTGAAATACGCAGGCAGACACAGAGGTAGACGTTCAGTTCGTTTTCTCTGCGTCAAAAGTGTCAAAGAGACCTTGCAAGCTTGTCTTTGTGTCCATGTGTTTGTGTTTTTCTGTGGCGCTTATATGGAAAAGCAAAGAAGCAGCAAGCGGCGGCAACAGCTCCCCTCTTCCTTGCCCAGAGCGTGTGAAATGCCTCCTTGGTAACCTGAGCCTTGCTTTGGTTTTTCCAGGTGCTGGAGAATCTGGTAAAAGCACCATTGTGAAGCAAATGAGGATCCTGCATGTTAATGGGTTTAATGGAGAGTAAGTGTCAAATCCGGCCAAGGGAACACAGTGACAAAAGTGGATCCCAGCTAATCTTTAGAAAGCTAGGTAGATTTTTGTTTTGGGGCTGGGCAGCCACCTTTCACTTAAGCTTTCCAACTGCATGTTAAAAATCCTAGGAAGAACTCACTAGGGCCCCCCCCCATCCCTGCCCCACCTACCTTTTCTTCAATCTTTGGTGCAGCAGACACATATATATATTTTTTAAATGACTATTTTTGTAACACCAGTATGCTTGCCAAACATGGCCCCTCTGCAAGGAAAAGAGTTCCTGAGTGTGGAGAACCGTCTACAGCATTTGACCCTATGACAGCGTCTCTGGCCAGGTCCTCTACGGCAGACCTGCTGGCCCTTCAGCTGTGTCTCTCCAACATGGCCACCGGGGCCACAGGCTGACCTCTGCAGAGCTGGGGTCGCAGCTCAAGGCCAGCAGTGAACCAAACTGAAAACCGTTAGGGAAACATTGTTTCAATGACATCCTGCACTAAAACAGTTGAAAGTGGCAGTCCTCCTTAACCAGCCACGCACCCCCTCAGAATTTTAACATAATGGACAGATCCTTTTAAGCTCTTTTTTTTCTCCCCAAATGTACCCTTCTGCCCAGAGAAATTAGGAGGACACATGGCATGATGGAAAGGCTGGCCCCTTGAAAGGCTTTGCTTTTTTTTTTTTTTTTTTTTCTTTTCGAAGCGGCCATCCCAGGCACGAGGCACAGGACTTTGTGACAGTACTGCAGTGAGAAAAAATATCTGTGGGCTTGTATGTGTTTGTGTTGGGCTTTTGGTTTTCTTTATTTTGCATTTGGTTTTTTAGAGTTTTTATTACAGAAGTAAAAGATAGGTATGAAAAGTTCATTGTAGTGGGACAGTTGACTTTTTGCACCAAGATTCCCTCAGTCAAGGTGAAAGGAGAGCTTGAACCTGACCCCGGCCCTGTTGTGTTGGTTTGTTTGTGGGGGTTTGGTGGGTATGAGGACAATGACTACCACTAGATCACAGCCCCCGACGCAGCCTTCGCACTAACGCACTAACTGGTTAACCCCTATTGCCTTCCTCCTCCTGTTTGCAAAGGAGGAGATTGAGTCTGAATGACAGTTTTCATTTAATTATGCCCCAAAATAAAGTCAAAACCAGCCAGGTGAAGTTTTTTTATCATCTTTACAGAGACCAAGGAATTGCCGTTTAAAGGCAGTTTCCGTATGGAAAATTCTAGACTCTGTACCGTCAAACAGCCCAGGGTTCGAGGTCATTGACCTTATCCATACCAGTGGACAGCTGTGTTCTGTAGTGCTTTTTAATTCTCTCCCCCTCCCCCCAATCCTGAATTCAGACAGATAGTGATTTTTAACAGTTTTATGAATGACTTTGAATGAGTCATCGATAAGCACGTTTGGGGTGTTTAAGTCATCTTCACTTGTCACAGAAACAGCCCTGAGATTTCTGAGTCTTGACACACCCACTCTGAAAACCCAACAGGTAGTGCCATAAATAAACATCTCAATAGGGGGCTTTTACCCCACAATGCTACCCTTTAAATTTGAGGCATTTGTCCCCGAACTTGTAGGAGTGGAGGTGGGGCCTTCTTCAGAATGAGGCTAGTTAAGAAAAAAAAATTTATTTACAATATATAAATAATAATTTGGCCATGTACCCTCTGGGTAAATATTGAGTAAAACTGGACAGAGCTAGCATTTTTACAGATACAGCAGCCACTGTTTTCCTTGAGACCCAGCAGAAACAAGAAATGTCCAGGAATTGAAAAGTCACTCTGCAGCGTGGCCCTGGATTTCTGTTCTCTTTCTGGAAAGAGGAAGCGACATCCCCAGTTCCCTGGCTTTGTAGAGGAAGCCATAGGTAATCTCTGAGGATGTTAAATTTAGCCTGTGAAAATGACATACAGGGGAATTCTTCGTGGAAGCCTTGATAACTTTATTTTTATCTCCGACTGAGATTCTCCTGTCCTTTTTTTAAAATCTTTTTCCTCACTGCAGTATTGCGACAAAAGCTATGTCCTCCTTAATAAGGGATTCCCTGGGACAGGGCGGCATCTGTGCACTAGAGAATGTTCTAGACCATGGGACCTGGTCTCGCTTGCTCTCAGTGTGCGCCTTGATGGAGCTGGGCCACACTCTGAAATGTGCCTTCGCGACCCGCCAGGCGCCTGCATTTTTAGAGAAACATGTCATATTAATTTGACCTTCAGCAATGCAAAGGTCACGTGTGCCTTTTCCTGCCTCAAAGCTTCCTCTCTTCCTCACATTTAATGCAAAGGAAACCAAACCCCAGGGAGGTGGGTCTGAGCTTGGCTCCTGGTCACACACAACCAGAGTAGGAGGGGGGCGCTTAGCCATCCCCCCACACACACCCTGCCTTCCAGGGGGCAGAGGGACTTTACTTGTCTTTGGGGTTTGTTGTTTTGGGGGAGGGGAAATGGGGGTTTTATCCTTTGGTTCTCTTTTTCCCTTTTGGGGTTTTTTTTAATTGCTACCTCTTGGTCCAACGGCTCACAGATAACAACTTGTAGGGTGGGGGTGGGGCATTACTTACATATGAAAAGACTTGGAAAGGTGGGTGCCCCAGCTGCAGGAAGGGGTGACAATAGTTTTGTCCCCCAAAGTCAGGGCCCTGTGTTCCCATCTGCCGGCACTGCAGCAGTCTTACAAGCATGTGGGGGGGGGGGATGGGAGCCCTTGGCACTGCCCTCTCTAAAGACCTGTGAACTGAATCACTGCTTTGCCTCCCTGATGCTTGCACATTTAGTGGAAAGCTCAAGAAAATAATTATCCGTCCCTTCTGCATCAGGCTGGAGTCTCCAGGGGGCCCAGCTAATACTGCAGCAGAGGTGCGGGCCTGTCCCTCGTGGCCGCCTGCAGCCTCCGGAGGGCCAGCCCAGCCCAGCCAGCGTGGAGAGCTGCCATGTAGCGGGAGGATGGCGGCTGATGCCAGTTCTGGCCGTGGCCGTGTAGGAAGATAGACAGGCTGTGTGGGGTGTTTT